GATGTTATCTTCATTGTAGAATAATAAGAAAATATTATAAAACCCTTTTTATTATAATAATAAGGTAAAAGGACCCAATGGAATAAGTCACCTGTCTGACTTTTTTGGGGTTTTCCACAGGTTTTTCTACACATATGCTGCTATGTATGATAATTCTTATGTAACTGTATTTGTGTTTTACCTGAATAACTTTCTTACCTTTACACCCCGTCCCCCAAATTTTCAACCCGTCTTTTTTGTGGTAATGTCTATGGTGCATCCAACAAGATAAGCCGACTCTTAGATGTCACTACTGCCCGGCTCCCGGGTGGGTTACAAGTATTATGGCAGGTTAAATCACCACCACCAGATGTAGACCAAACGAAATGTAAACTTTGCCAGATGGACTATTGTCACACCCTCTCATTATGTACTGGAGTGTGATAAAATTAATGAATTAAGAGACAACTCAGAAATGTTCAAGAAATGGCAAGTATTTTATCCACAGTGGTATATTACAGACCATTCTGGAGAAATACCCTGACTTTGCTCACTGTAAATAAAACATTACCACCTGTGTATGTGTGCGTGCTTGTGTGTGTGTATGTGTACTCACCTAATTGTGGTTGCGGGGTCGAATCAGCTCCTGGCCCCGCCTCTTCACTGATCGCTGCTAGGTCCTCTCTCTCTCTGCTTCCTGAGCTTTGTCATACCTCTTCTTAAAACTATGTATGGTTCCTGCCTTTCCCTACTTCACTTGCTGGCTATTCCACTTTCCTGACGACTCTATGACTGAAGAATACTTCCTTTAAAGTCCCTGTGACTCGTCTGAGTCTTCAGCTTCCAGTTGTGACCCCTTGTTTCTGTGTCCCCTCTCTGGAACATCCTATCTCTGTCCACCTTGTCTATTCCCCGCAGTATCTTGTATGTCGTTATCAGTCTCCCCTGACCCTTCTGTCCTTCCCGTGTCGTCAGTCCGATTTCCCTCAACCTTTCCTCGTACGACATTCCCCTGAGCTCTGGGACTAGCCTTGTTGCAAACCTTTGTACTTTCTCTAACTTCTTGACGTGCTTGACCAGGTGTGGGTTCCAGACTGGTGCTGCATACTCGTTTTTTACTGTGTTTGTATGCTTGTGTGCCTGTGTCTGTGCATGCGCCCTCGTGTGTGTGTATAACACCTTAAGAGGCACGTAAGTACTACTGTCTTCTAATTACATGTTGATTTTTCCACTATAATCTACCTTGTCCATAATTACTATCACATTTGCTTTGTTTCGTAAGGTGAAGTCCACGATCTTTCCTTAATTCATACCTGGAGCTTACCTGGAGAGAGTTCCGGGGGTCAACGCCCCGGCGGCCCGGTGTGTGACCAGGCCTCCTGGTGGATCAGAGCCTGATCAACCAGGCTGTTACTGCTGGCTGCACGCAAACCAACGTACGAGCCACAGCCCGGGTGGTCAGGTACGGACTTTAGGTGCTTGTCCAGTGCCAGCTTGAAGACAGCCAGGGGTCTATTGGTAATCCCCCTTATGTATGCTGGGAGGCAGTTGAACAGTCTTGGGCCCCGGACACTTATTGTATGGTCTCTTAGCGTGCTAGTGACACCCCTGCTTTTCATTGGGGGAATGTTGCATCGTCTGCCAAGTCTTTTGCTTTCGTAGTGAGTGATTTTCGTGTGCAAGTTCGGTACTAGTCCCTCTAGGATTTTCCAGGTGTATATAATCATGTATCTCTCCCTCCTGCGTTCCAGGGAATACAGGTTCAGGAACTTCAAGCGCTCTCAGTAATTGAGGTGTTTTATTATTTATTATCACACTGGCCGATTCCCACCAAGGCAGGGTGGCCCGAAAAAGAAAAACTTTCACCATCATTCACTCCATCACTGTCTTGCCAGAAGGGTGCTTTACCCTACAGTTTTTAAACTGCAACATTAACACCCCTCCTTCAGAGTGCAGGCACTGTACTTCCCATCTCCAGGACTCAAGTCCGGCCTGCCGGTTTCCCTGAACCCCTTCATAAATGTTACTTTGCTCACACTCCAACAGCACGTCAAGTATTAAAAACCATTTGTCTCCATTCACTCCTATCAAACACGCTCACGCATGCCTGCTGGAAGTCCAAGCCCCTCGCACACAAAACCTCCTTTACCCCCTCCCTCCAACCTTTCTTAGGCGACCCCTACCCCGCCTTCCTTCCACTACAGACTGATACACTCTTGAAGTCACTCTGTTTCGCTCCATTCTCTCTACATGCCCAAACCACCTCAACAACCCTTCCTCAGACCCTCTGGACAACAGTTTTGGTAATCCTGCACCTCCTCCTAACTTCCAAACTACGAATTCTCTGCATTATATTCACACCACACATTGCCCTCAGACATGACATCTCCACTGCCTCCAGCCTTCTCCTCGCTGCAACATTCATCACCCATGCTTCACAACCCATAAAGAGCGTTGGTAAAACTATACTCTCATACATTCCCTCTTTGCCTCCAAGGACAAAGTTCTTTGTCTCAACAGACTCCTAAGTGCACCACTCACCCTTTTCCCCTCATCAATTCTATGATTCACCTCATCTTTCATAGACCCATCCGCTGACACGTCCACTCCCAAATATCTGAATACATTCACCTCCTCCATACTCTCTCCCTCCAATCTGATATCCAATCTTTCATCACCTAATCTGTTTGTTATCCTCATAACCTTACTCTTTCCTGGTGTTTTATCTCCGTTATGCGCGCCGTAAAGGTTCTCGGTACATTTTCTAGGTCAGCAATTTCACCTGCCTTGAAAGGTGCTGTTAGTGTGCAGCAATATTCCAGCCTAGATAGAACAAGCGACCTGAAGAGTGTCATCATGGGCTTGGTATCCCTAGTTTTGAAGGTTCTCATTATCCAGTTGTGTTGCAGAGTTCTGAGAGAAGCTCAAACCTCTGCAACACATGACAACCAGTGCTGCTTCAGGGAAGGAAAATCCTGTATCACAAACCTACTGGAGTTCTATGATAAGGTACATGTCTGTACATTTTCTAGGTCAGCAATTTCACCTTCCTTGAAAGGTGCTGTTAGTGTGCAGCAATATTCCAGCCTAGATGGAACAAGCAACCTAAAGAGTGTCATCATGGGCTTGGCCTCCCTAGTTTTGAAGGTTCTCATTAACCATCCTGTCATTTTTCTAGCAGATGCGATTGATACAATGTTATGGTCCTTGAAGGTGAGATCCTCTGACATAATCACTCCCAGGTCTCTAACATTAGTTTTTCGCTCTTTTGTGTGATTGGAATTTGTTTTATACTCCGATATAGTTTTAATTTCCTCACGTTTTCCATATAGGAGTAATTGGAATTTCTCATCATTGAACTTCATATTGTTTTCTGCTGCCCATTTAAAGATTTGGTTGATGTCCGCCTGGAGCCTTGCAGTGTCTGGAATGGAAGACACTGTCATGCAAATTCGGGTGTCATCTGCAAAGGAAGACACGGTGCTGTGGCTGGCATCCCTATGTCCGATATGAGGATGAGGAACAAGATGGGGGCGAGTACTGTGCCTTAAGCGATAAAACACCTAAATTACTGGGAACGTTTGAAGTTCCTCGACCTGTACTCCCTGGAACGCAGGCGGGAGAGATACATTATTATATACACCTGGAAAATCCTTGAAGGATTAGAACCAAATTTGCACACGAAAATCACTCCCTACATAAGAGGGATTACCAATAGACCCCTGGTTCTCTTCAAGAAAGTTTTGGACAGGCACCTACAGTCAGTACCTGACCAGCCAGGCTGTGGTCCGTACGTCAGTTTATGCGCAGCCATCAGTAACAGCCTGGTTGATCAGGCCCTGATCCACCAGAGGCCTGGTCACAGACCGCACCGCGGCGGCATTAATCCCCGAAGCCCTCTGCAGGCATACTCCAGGTATACAGTACCACAGTTAGTTTAATGTTTATTATGCACCCCATACCCATCCTGTGGGTGGTAGCCAAAAGATTACAGAGGTACATAATGGGTCCAGGGACTGGGCCACAAAGGTACGATAGCAGAACTATTTACAAAGGTATTGAACTCCAGGTAGATCTCGTCACAATCATGGCAAATTACAAAGGTAATGAACCATCTATACTCTTATATATGGATACAATCATGAATAAATTACAAAGTAATGAGCCACTGACACGTCCACACCCGGTCACAACTGTAATGAGTTATAAGTACAAATATTAAGAGCCTTTCTCCTAGAAATCGTTGATGAAATTTGCTGGGTTCTATAGCTTGGAAAAAGTCTTTTTTATGCGGCTGAATTCTTCGAGGAAGACAAAACTCAATAATCTACATTACAAGCTCACAAATAAAGCCTCTGTAATGACTCCTCTCTTATCAGGAGTGTTATGGTATGATAAGTAATGCTGTAAATCATCATTCATTGCAGGTTTTCTGTAAACTTTTAAAATCCAATTGCCGGACATTTCTGCCAAGTAAAACATCAAGAAAGGGTAGGCCAATTATTCTGCTCCTTCTTCATTGTAACTTTGATAAAAAAAAAAGTTCCACAGAGTTGATGTTGAGAAGAGCAGTGATGTCTGGACGTCTGGACGTCTGGACGTCTGGGCACGATCACCAGAATGTAACTCATATAACGTAGTCATGTTACATCTCTGGGGATGTATGACTTCAGCTTCTCCTCCTCCAGGTGCTCTATGCACGACTTAGTCATCGAAAGAGAAGCAGTTGAAACTGATACATAGGTCTGTTGTGCCGACGAAATCCCATCAATGGATTACGAAGCTTGACAGTAAAACGTCACAAGTCACTGTTCTCCTTCATCAGAAAGTTATGGTCCATCATCACCTCTCCCTACTAGCGAGAAATTTTGTCTACGTAATCAACAAATATCACTACAATAATGGTATAACTACCGACAAGATGAATTAGAAACATGTGCAACACCTGGGAATCTTTATTTGAAGACGTTGTGTAACCACTGGCTTTATCAGTTCAATACCCAGATGATATGCGATGACAGTAAAATATGAAGTAATCAATCCGCAGCCTTTTCTTTCACTGTCTTCTGGTATATAGTTCTGCAAGACCTGTTATCTAATCTTCTACTGTCTTTGTATATCATCTCTCTACTGAACTGATGAAGGAATTAGTTGGCGAAATGTTTTCAAATGAAGATAAGATAAAGATACCAAGGTGTTGCACATGTGCCTAATTCCTCTGTCAATATGTTTATCGATTTCAGCTGCTTCGCTTCTTAGGAATATAGTGAAATAAAAAGAACACTTTATGAAAATTTCAAATGTCATTTGAGTGACAGGACAGAGTTAATGCTTTTGTGTCTGATGGATCGTGAAGGTACAGAGAGTGGTACAGTGAGGTGGGTTCTGGGAGTGGTAGCTCACCTACTGGCCTCCCAGGCCACCTACGTCTCCGTGCTGAGTCGTCACCAGCTAGGTGGTGGTGATCACCTCACAGACGCTGGAGGTCGTGAAGATGTCAACGAGGACCCACGCCACCTGCCTCTCACTGCCCCGCCAGCCATCACGAACGGGCTGGTGGTCCAGCGAGTCATGACTCAGGATGACGAAGTTTTGTTTCAGAAGGTATAGTATAATAACCATCGTTGGTTTGGCATGGTAGATGACACACTACAATAATTTATACCCAATTAAAATCCATTACATTCCCGCCGCCGTGTGAGAAAACTGATAATTGCATATCTCAAGGAAAATTTGTGGTTATGCTCTCCTACAGCAAGATTTTCTAATAAATATAAGGAGCACTGTATACACATAAATGATATCTTTTTACAGATGTACGAAGGCCAGGAGCTAGGAGTGCGGTGGCTGGTGGTGTGTGGCTCCCACCTGCCACACCTCACACAACACTACTTCCCCATCAATAATAACGTGAGTCTGCCTTTTATTCAGTATATTAGGTTTCAAATCTATCGACTGCACGTGTGTCATTAAAGTAGCAGGTTATATGTACACAAACAATCAAGAGTACAATATTCTGAAAGTTTAAAGTCAACTTTACATATATATAAATATATATATATATATATATATATATATATATATATATATATATATATATATATATATATATATATATATATATAGCACATCATATATATATATATATATAAAAATATAAAGCCCCATAATATCATTATTGTTACTTCAGTGTTGGTATTAAGGTGTTAAAATACATTGATGGTTAAAAATTCTTGACGAAATACTCCACTCAGACTTAAAATAATTAATATTATTGAAAGGGACGATATATGTTGTACTGCTGTCATTATGATGTGTTATTGGTACCAACAAATTTATTGACCAACAAATTTATTGACCAATAAATTTGTGTTATACATACTCGTAAATTAATTTTTAATGTCATACCATCTATTACACTTGTCACCCAGTTTATGAAACCAATGTTTTGGTAAATAGTGAATATAATATTGACCTGCACTGATGTCTACAATAGTCTACAAGGCTAAAGAGGCAGCTTAGCTTACCTAGCACACTATAACTCACCATGGTTGTTCTGGCATTATATTCAAATATACACGCTGTCTATCTGTCTATCTATATTTACACACACACACACACACACACACACACACACACACACACACACACACACACACAACACACATCACAGCAACACATCAAACACAGGTGAGTGAGTACACATGCAGAGCCAGTTTGGAACCCTCACCTAGCCAAGCATGTAAGGAAACTAGAAAAAGTGCAAAGGTTTGCAACAAGACTAGTCCCGAAGCTAAGGGGTATGTCCTACCAGGAGAGGTTAAGGGAAATCGACCTGACGGCGCTGGAAGACAGGAGAGTTAGGGGGGATATCATAATTACATATAAAATATTGAGAGGTATAGACAAGGTGGACAGAGACAGGATGTTCCAGAGATGGGACACAACAACAAGGGGTCACAGTTGGAAGTTGAAGACTCAGATGAATCACAGGGATGTTAGGAAGTATTTCTTCAGTTACAGAGTTGTCAGGAAGTGGAATAGCCTGGGCAGTGATGTAGCGGAGGCAGGATCCATACATAGCTTTAAAAAGAAGTATGATAAAGCTCACGGAGAGGGAAGAGTGACCGGGTAGCGGCCAGATGAAGAGGCGGGGCCAGGAGCCTTGAATCGGCCCCCGCAACCACAACTAGGATATACACACATGTGTGATGTGAATTATACTGTGTACCCAAAACATTCCAATAAAAGAATAAAAGTATTTTTGTATCTTCTGTCTTTAAACTTTCCCAAAACACTAAGTATCTCAGATTCACTAGAACTGTCAGACATGTTTGTACTTGTGGACTTTAGTGTCAATAAGGTAACCAAACACTGAGGATCATGATAACTCTGTGATCTGTTCTGCGCTTCACCGAAGACAATTTATGTTTGACATATTTGCTGGATATGAATAAATGTGAACATTGTTCTATGTTTACAGGTAAACTGAGCCATTCATGGCAGGTTTGTTGATGGTTGCCATTCATGGCAGGTTTGTTGATGGTTGTCATTCATGGCAGGTTTGTTGATGGTTGTCATTCATGGCATGTTTGTTGATGGTTGTCATTCATGGCAGGTTTGTTGATGGTTGTCATTCATGGCAGGTTTGTTGATGGTTGCCATTCATGGCAGGTTTGTTGATGGTTGTCATTCATGGCAGGTTTGTTGATGGTTGTCATTCATGGCAGGTTTGTTGATGGTTGCCATTCATGGCATGTTTGTTGATGGTTGTCATTCATGGCAGGTTTGTTGATGGTTGTCAAAATGTTGAGTTTTCACTGTATTGTTGATGTTGCAAAATACTCATTGCAGGTTAGGGATCTGATGACCGTAAATTGTCAGTTGACTAACTGTGCAGTGTGACGTAACTGTGACATGTGCTAACTGTGCAGTGTGCTACTTTTGACGGTTGCGTACTGTGACAGTGTGGGTAACTGACGTGTGGCGTAACTGTCACAGTGTGGCGTAATGTACAGTGGGGCGTAACTGTTTGACAGTGTGGCTAAACGTGCCCATGTGCGTAACTGTACAGTGTGGCTAACTGTGACGTGTGACGTAACTGTGACAGTGTGACGTAACTGTGACAGTGTGACGTAACTGTGACAGTGTGGCGTAACTGTGACAGTGTGGCGTAACTGTGACAGTGTGGCGTAACTGTAACTGGATTAACTGCAACAATTTGGCATTTCTATAACTATAATAAATAATATTAATATATTCCTAACGCCAGTCTTAATTCCTAAACCCACGAGGGTTGTATACAACCTTGAGAATGACAAGTAATCAGGTTTAATCCGAGGAATGTGATGACGCCTCTAGTTTCCTGCAAGAAGCAACTCTACCTGAAGACAAAGTAACTTATTTATTATGTAATAATGTTGGTATAATAACCGACACAAGTGTTAGGTCAAAGGTCACACGTGCAGACAAAGGTCACACGTTCAGACAAAGGTCACACATGCAGACAAAGGTCACACGTGCAGACAAAGGTCACACGTGCAGACAAAGGTCACACATGCAGACAAAGGTCACACCTGCTGACAAAGGGACACGTGCAGACAAAGTCCACGTGCAGACAAAGTCACACTGCAGACAAGGTCCACTTGCACAAGGCACACTTCAGACAAAGGTCCACATGCAGACCAAGTCAACTGCAGACAAAGTAACGTGCAGACAAAGGTCACACTGCAGACAAGAGTCACACATGCAGACAAGGTCACACGTTGCGACAAGGTCACTCGTGCAACAAAGTAAGTGCGACGTTCCGCTCTCCACCTTTGTGCACTGTGACCTTGTCTGCACGTGGACCTTGTTCACTTGACTTGTCTGCACGTGGACCTTCTGCACGTGTGGCTTGTTGCACGTGGACTTTGTCTGCACGTGTGACTTTGTTGAATGTGACCTTTGTCTGAACGTGTGACCTTTGTCTCACGTGTGACTGTCCATGACCTTGTGCATGTGACTTGTCAACGTGACCTTTGTCTGCACGGTGGCCTGCACGTGTACTTGTCTGAGTGTGACCTTGTCTGCACACTTGTCTGCAGTTGCCTTTGTCTGAACGTGACTTGTCTGAAGTTATGTGCAAAATGTGACTTGTCTGAGTGTGACCTTGTCTGCTGTGTACCTTTGTCTGAACGGTACTTGTTGATGTGCCTTGCACTTGACTTGTCGCACGTGACCTTGCACGTGTGACCTTTGTCTGCACGTGTGACCTTGCCACACCTTGTCGCACGGACCTTGCGCACGTGTGACCTTGTCTCACGGACTTGTCTCAGTGTTTGCGCACTGTGACCTTGCTGCCTACCTTTTCTCACGTACTTTGTCTGCATGTGTGACTTGTCGCACGTGTGACCTTTGTCTGCACGTGTGACCTTTGTCTGCTGTTGACCTTGTCTGAACGTGACCTTGTCTGCACGTGTGACCTGACTAACACTTGTGTCGTTATACCTTATACAAAAAATAAGTTATTGTCTCAGTAGAGTGCTTCTGCAGGGAACTGAGCGCATCACATTCCTCGTAACTGTACTTGTCATTCTCAGCTGTAACAACCCTCGTGGTTTAGGAATTAAGCTGGGTTAGATATATTAATATAATAATTAGTTTCAGTCTGCCTTAGAATAAGAAATTATAATCTTTGAGATCGAGTGACGTCACAAACAGAGTTGAGGTGAACACTGGGCCATAACCATCCTGTCTGAGGCCTGAGTAAGCACGACACCTGGTGTGGATTCGTCTGAAAAATATTGTGCCACATGGCCCTTTATAACCTTCCCACAGTGTACAGAAATATACGTAGCTGGCCCAGTGGTTAACATACTGGCCTGTGAGTTTTATGTCTCACTTGCCATGGGTTCGAGTCTCACCCGTTCTGTGATTTGATTACTGTTTCTTTAAGTTATCCCAATATCAATCTATGTGTTTTCTCAATTTAATTAAGGTTTGTAGTAAATATCTCGCCTGGTTGATCAGGCTCTGATCCACCAGGAGGCCTGGTCACAGACCGGGCCGCGGGGGCGTTGACCCCCGGAACTCTCTCCAGGTAGACAAAGGTAGGGTAGGTTAGATTGTTCTCTGTTCACGAAGGATAACAAATAATACGACACCGAAACAAAACAAAAATATATTAGATAAAGGCGATTAAAAATCCTGCTGAGAGAGTAGAAAACGGAACCACTGAGCTTGGTTGATGTAACAGTCAGAATGTCACTGTTTAAGTGGCCTTTATCAGTCTTCCATATGATTTGTCTTTTCAAAGGTGAATCGAGGTTTGGAATTAAGAGGACTGGCTTTACCTGCGGGACTTGACGTGTCATCTGACACTGAGCAAAGTAATGAACTATGTCTCGACCCTTGCAACCACAAATAGGTGAGTACAGGATCTAGTATGAGTGAGGTGTCATCAAGGTCAACGTACCTTGGATCATGGTTGTACGTGGGCCATTTAACATGCTTTGTGCGAGTACATTAATGAGGTAATGAGAGGGTGAACGCTGGTAGTGACCACTCAGACTACCTACTCACTTTCCTCGGTTGAAGCTTAAGAATTTTTTCTTCGTAGTTCTTATGTTTTTTTGTTCTTTTTTTTACTTTTCATTTTTATTTATTTGTATTTCTTTGTTTGCCTCTTGCTGTTCTTGTGACCAACCTCCTCATGTTCACTATGTCATGCATCATGCATTCACATGAGGTCGTTTTCAACATGCAACATTCCTGTGAATATAATAATGGCATGCAGTAACAACATGCACAACAGTTAGGTAGGTTTATTCAGAAACTTTCCGCCTACACAGCAGGCTTCATCAGTTAAATACAACGGCGACAAATACAGAGACAACACAAGCAGTGGAAAGGTAAAGATGATGTGATCAGTCTGTCAACCTTAAAGTATTAGTTTGAGGTGTCAGTCCGTCACCTAAGTATAGGAGTGTCAGTCCCCAGTCTGGAGAAGACCCTTGAGCTTCAGTGTTATATATGTAATCTCAAAGGTGTGGAGAAAACCAGATTCACTTGAATGACTGACACTTCTGCGTGGTTAATATGGCTGCTTTCTCAACAAATAACAAGAACTAAATAACATGTACAGATTGTTAGTCAGTATTAACACCTGTGCCACATAATGAGGACACTCTCTCACCTGTCTCACCTGTTGCTTATTACACCGAACGTGATAACAGTAAAGAAACTGATAACACTGAACGTTATAACAGTCAAGAAACTGATAACACTGAACGTGATAACAGTGAAGAAACTGATAACACTGAACGTGATAACAGTAAAGAAACTGATAACACTGAAGAAACTGATAACACTGAACGTGATAACAGTGAAGAAACTGATAACACTGAAGAAACTGATAACACTGAACGTGATAACAGTGAAGAAACTGATAACACTGGAATCTTCATAACCACGAACTGAAACTTAAAACAATCTCATAAACATCTACATTAGTTAAATAAACAAGTTCATTTTTCAGAACTCACTGACCTTGTCATTTGATTGTTACAAACAACACAAATACTTCTTTGTGAATTTTTTAGAGTTAACAATACTATTAAAAAATGGACTGCAAGAAAAAAAACCTATTCATGAAAATTAGCATATAACTGACATCAAAAGAATATTTTCATTGCTTTGAAAAGTTCGCCTGGGAAATTGTAAAGCTATGGATGTAAAAAAATTGGAGGAGGTTAATGATCAAAACTAAGTCCAAGTATTAGTGGCCGCAAATCGCTTAACTGTTACCATCCATCTTACTAACAAGACCATGATGTTCATGCAAGCTTTAAAAGTTCGGCCTGGTGAAAATTTTGTAAAAGCTATGGATGGTAAAGGAAAATTTTGGAGGAGGTTTTAACTGATGCAAAACTTAAGTCCAGAGTATTAGTTGGGCCGCAAATCCGTGAACTGTTATCCATCCCAGTCTTACTATCACAAGTGACGCCACTGGAGCTGGTAGCATGGCAAGCTTTCAGACAGGATGTCCAGAACTCCCTAAGAAGACAAAGAGCAGAGAGTTATGTCAGGTTAGTGTAAAATATGATAGAAGCCCCGTGGAGCCCTGAGTTGACCCGTGATCCTAAAAATGCACTTTTTTCTTGCACACCTGAACTTCTTCCCATCCAATATTGGTACTGTTAGTGGCGAGCATGGTGAAAGGTCTCACCATTGTAGCAGCACAATGGAGGTACGCTGTCAGGGGCGTTTCAGTCACAACATGATGGGGGACTACTGTTGGCGTCTTCAGAGACATAACTGTTAGTCACAACATGCTGGGGACTACTGTTGGTGTCTTCAGAGACAAACAGCTGTTAATCACAACATAATGGGGGACTACTGTTGGTGTCTTCAGAGACACAACTGTTAGTCACAACATGATGGGGGACTACTGTTGGCGTCTTCAGAGACAGAAATGTTAGTCACAAGTGTAAAGCTAAATGTTTAAAACATTTTTAAATATTTTATGCTTCCAGTGAGAGCACGTTGCTTAATTAATATCCCTGAAAGATTATTCACCAGTTATTTTTAATCAGGGAGCAAGTTTTGAGTGACTCACTATACTACCTGTGCTGCAGGTTCTGATGGAACTTGATCTGTAAATAAACAATTCTTAAAATTATGTTTTCCAGTAACGTGGCAGATCAATTGCGACCTCAACTTTGGGGTCAGTTTGCTGCTTTTATTACACAGTTTTATTTATATCAGTAGCAGATATAATATATTTCCTTACTGTTGTGGTTTAGTGTTATTTACTGTAGTTGTATTTTGCGTATTCAACATCACTTAGAAATATCCTCTTCACCAGCTCTCAAAATTTCTTTCATTTTCAAAACTGACGACTTTTCCCCCCCCTCATGGAAATGAATTCCAACTATTAATATTAATGATGAACTAACCCAGGTTATATACACGGTATACATCTACTGGGATTTACTTTAATCCCTATTATTAGGATTAAACTATTCTTGTCTGGTGATGACGCTTACGAGCAGCCTCAATGACCCTCGTGTAGTAGGTAAGCTTCAAACCCCATTAACCAAGCTTGATCTAACTTGCACCTACTTCATTGTAGTTTTAGCCGTGAATGAAGGTGCTACAAACAATTTAGTGTTGCTGCAGTAGGAGGAACATGATCGACCAGACAAACACCAGCAGCAGTGTAGTGCTACACACCGCCGCTGGTGTTTGCTCCAGGTAAACACACTGTCATGACCATAACACTCACTGCTTTCCTAAATCTGACCCATGAGGGTCTACCCTTGCCTAAATTTGGCTGAATAAATAGAACACTCCCTTACCATGATTATTATTATTATTATTTTTTTTTCACAAACCGGCCGTATCCCACCAAGGCAGGGTGGCCAAAAAGAAAAACGAAAGTTTCTCTTTTTGGGGTTACTAGCCCCTTGCTCCTGGCATTTTAGTCGCCTCTTACAACACGCATGGCTTACGGAGGAAGAATTATGTTCCACTTCCCCATGGAGATAAGAGGAAATAAACAAGGACAAGAACTAGTGAGAAAATAGCAGAAAACCCAGAGGGGTGTGTATATATATGCTTGTACATGTATGTGTAGTGTGACCTAAGTGTAAGTAGATGTAGAAAGATGTACCTGAAATCTTGCATGTTTATGAGACAGAAAAAAGGACACCAGCAATCCTACCATCATGTAAAACAATTACAGGCTTTATTATTATTATTATTACTATTATTATTATTATTATTATTACTATTATTATTATTATTATTACTGCTATTATTATTAGCATAGAAGTTAAACATACATGAAACATGTGTATGTAACTAAATGTATACTAGATTTGCTAACTAAAAAAAGTAGACATTGTACGATACAGAAGTTAATGTTCATGTTATTGTTATGTTTATGTTAGTGTTATGTTTATGTTAGTGTTGTTATGTTTATGTTATTGTTGTTGTGTTTATGTTAGTGTTGTTATGTTTATGTTATTGTTGTTGTGTTTATGTTAGTGTTGTTATGTTTATGTTAGTGTTATTGTGTTTATGTTAGTGTTTTAGTGTTTATGTTAGTGTTATTGTGTTTATGTTAGTGTTGTTATGTTTATGTTAGGTTTGTGTTTATGTTAGTGTTGTTATGTTTATGTTAGTGTTTTGTGTTTATGTTAGTGTTGTTATGTTTATGTTAGTGTTATTGTGTTTATGTTAGTGTTGTTATGTTTATGTTAGTGTTATTGTGTTTATGTTAGTGTTGTTATGTTTATGTTAGTGTTATTTGTTTTGTAGTGTTTAGTGTATGTTATGTTGTATGTTATGTTATTGTGTTTATGTTAGTGTTGTTATGTTTATGTTAGTGTTATTGTGTTTATGTTAGTGTTGTTTGTTTATGTTAGTGTTATTGTGTTTATGTTAGTGTTGTTATGTTTATGTTAGTGTTGTTATGTTTATGTTAGTGTTGTTATGTTTATGTTAGTGTTGTTATGTTTATGTTAGTGTTGTTGTGTTTATGTTAGTGTTGTTATGTTTGTTAGTGTTGTTATGTTTATGTTAGTGGTTTGTTATGTTAGTGTTGTTATGTTTATGTTAGTGTTGTTATGTTTATGTTAGTGTTGTTATGTTTATGTTAGTGTTGTTATGTTTATGTTAGTGTTGTTATGTTTATGTTAGTGTTGTTATGTTTATGTTAGTGTTGTTGTGTTTATGTTAGTGTTGTTATGTTTATGTTAGTGTTGTTACTAGGAATCAGGAGGCATCCCAGATATGGTTGGGCTGGTATAAAGCTTACTTCACATGTTGCATTTGATATTGGTGAGGGGCTCTTGATTTAGGGAATTGGATCTGTGCTCCAGTTCCCCGAATTAAGCCTGAATGCCTTCCACATCCCCCCCCCCAGGCGCTGTATAATCCTCCAGGTTTAGCGCTTCCCCCTTGATTATAATAATAATAATAATAATAATAATAATAATAATAATAATAATAATAATAATAACAATGTATTAGTGTACCTCTGCTAAGTGGTATTATTTTTTTTTTTTAGTTGGCGATTGCGAAAGGTAGGGCAGCTTCCTTGCTTCACTGACTGATGTAAGTGTCGACACACGGCAGTAGTCGAGTACAGCAAATCAAATTCTTCCATGATCCACTGATTGAGAAAGACTTTTAAATAATGTTTCAGAAGTATTCAACACTTGACAATCAGAAAAATTCATTCTTTCTTAGTTCCACTGGACGAGCATAATAAATGATTTCACTGTTGTCTCTAATTACTGTAGCAAAGATTCACTTTCATGACTGTTGCTTCTTACAGGTGGTGTTAGCCACAGTCTCTGACGAGAGGGTGACTGCAGCGCTGTGGGAGACTTACCAGGCAAGTCCCCACCTCCAGCACCACACGCAGCAGCTGGGGCGCTGGACGCTAGCCACCCCACCTGGACAAGTGACTCCTGATACAGACCCAGGTAACCAGCCAGGGTTCCTACAGGAGGGAAGAGCAGAGCTTCTGCAAGTGGAGAAAATGGTGACACGATACGGTGTGTTGGAGGCTCCCAGGAGTGATCCAATCATCAACAGACGTAACCTGACGGGACTACACCTTAGATGTACGACCATTGAGGTAATACAGGTTTAGCGCTTTACTTAAATTAACACTGCAGAAGTTAACTCACTAACCCGTCCTAATTCTAGATTCAGCCTCTCTTAATTTATTATAGAACCGGAAATGCATGTAGAATGCATAATTTATTTTGTGTTACACAAGGTTTAAATTTTTATTTAACTTATTCATATATTCACCAAATTATAATAAATTTGGTGAATATTTGAGGAAATTTTGTGCTGAATATATAACAAATTAAGTGAGTGTTAATATTTAGTAACATAAACAAATTAGTACTTTTATAACATGACCATCACTGATGACATGACCATCACTGATGACATGACCATCAGATCGACGCCATGCCTAACCCTTCTAGGGTAGGGTAGGTGCCTGAGCCCGAGCCTTTAGCTCATAAGACTGTCATTCCCATTTGCCCCCTTGGGACAGGGATGGCAGACCAGAGAGGCCTAGCTTGTGGCTAGGCCTGGGGACAGTTGGTCCCAAAGATGAGGAGGTACTTGTGCCTCCTCCCATGGGAGACTTAGGTCTCAGACACTCCCTAAAGAGGAAGCCAAGGCCGGGCCACCACTTGGTAAAGGCCCGGGCTGGGAGAATACCGGCTAATCTTTAACTAACTAACTAACATGACCATCACTGATGACATGACCATCATAATGACATGACCATCACTAATGACATGACCATCACTAATGACATGACTAACGACATTCCCCGTGTCCGACTAAACCTTTACAAAAATTCAATGTATGTCAAAGGCCCTAAAATCTGGAATACCCTACCTGAGAACTCTAGAACTGCAGACACATTCATCACCTTCAAAACTACCATTAGAAAACATCTTATCTCCCTGATACACCCCGTCAACTAACTACACGAATACCACCTGGTGGTTCACACTTACACTCACTCACTCATTTGACCATAAACAGAAATATTAATCTCAGTCTTAAAATAATGAATCCTGTGATACTCCAATACTGAAACTATGTACTGTGCCAAAACAAAAGCATTCACATTGCTAAACTCACAAACTAGTATTTAGTCACTTAGCCATAATACCAACTTACCTCATAATTTGTAATATTTTACAATTAAGAATAAAACTAATTATGCCCGAAATGCCTAGCCATGCTAAGCGTTCTAGTGGTACACTCTGTAATCACAATTTTACTACATGTAAACCAAACAATAACCAAATTTCTGTAAACTCAGCATTGTAATCCTTATAGAGAATAAACTTTGAATTTGAATTTGAATTTGAATTGATGACATGACCATCATTGATGACATGACCATCACTGATAACATGACCATCACTAATGACATGACCATCACTAATGACTTGACCATCACTGATGACATGAGCATCATTGTAAGGATATTCTCATGGTATCAGCCACACTGTGTGAACTGAATTGTTTGCAATCCTAATGGCGCTAAAGCTAACCTATGACACTGAGCTTGACTCTATCATCATTACTGATTCTATGTCATCATTGAAGGCTCTTGACTCATATAATGACTCCAACAACATGCTCATTGGGGAAGCCAGGTATAGATACTCAAAAATTAGGGACAAAGGAATTAATGTACAATTGCTATGGATCCCATCACACATTGGATTATTCCTTCATGATAAAGTTGATATGTTAGCCAAGAAGAGTATCCAGAAGGAGAACGTAGAATATAATTTTGGTATAACTGTGTCTAGCATTAGGAATAATATTAGGAGAGAAGTAAATAATGAAGATGATTGTTATAGGAATGCAGTTAGAAGCCTGAGTAGATCTATAACCCACTATGATAACATGAACGTAGATAAGTATGTTTATGGAGCAACTTGCAATGTGAACAGACTGACTGATGTTGTAGTGGCCAGGGTTAGGCTTGGTTACAAGTACTTCTGGCAGTTTGGGAGACACACTGATGATGATCAAACTAAATGTAAATTATGTGATCAGGCATATGGTCACTCTCTTGAACACTATGTGCTTAATTGTCCACTTATTGAGGAATACAGAGACAGACAGTATAATAACCTATGTGACATGTCAAGATATCTTATTAATGAAAATAAGATACCAGATATACTAAGCAAATTTCCTAAATTTGCTTGTAACAGATAAGTGAACTATAGATATGTAGACATAAATCCATATGTATTCCTGTTAACCCTTTGGGGCCTAGTTCCTAGGCCTTTTGTGTATTCACATGCTCTCGCGCTACCGTCCACAGGATGGATATGGGGTGCACAATAAACTAGCCACTTCGGTGGCAAAATCTAAAATCTAATCTGTGTGAGGATACTTCCCTGTCAAGCTGACAGCCACAGCAGCAGTGCTGACTTGTGTTTTCTGGTTCAGTTCCAGCCCATGACACTGCTGACGCAGCAGCAGGACGGTAGCGTCGTGGTGACGGGAGTAATGGGAGACATTCTGACTCTACTGCACGACCTCACCAACTTCACGTAAGTCACCACGTAGCCTCGTCTCATGCATGTTATTATACTTCCGGTTATCTTTCATGGTGGCACATTAACTTACTGTTAAAGAAGACAGCGGGGGCATTGACCCCCTCTCCAGCACATATTGAATGGGAAGCAATCAGGTGTGATCCAGGGATGAAATGGGGGGTTCTATCTCGGATTATTGACATTCATTGCATCGTTTGTGATTCTCTGGCAGAGTCATGGCACGGGTATTGTCCAGGTGGTGACCTGGCAAGGCAGTCACAATGGTGACCTGGCAAGGCAGTCACAATGGTGACCTGGCAAGGCAGCCACAATGGTGACCTGGCAAGGCAGCCACAATGGTGACCTGGCAAGGCAGTCACAATGGTGACCTGGCAAGGCAGTCACAATGGTGACCTGGCATGGCAGTCATCATGGTGACCCAAAAAGGCAGTCATCATGTCGACCCAGCAGTCATCATGGTGACCTGGGAAGACAGTCATCATGTTGACCCAGCCAGACAGTCATCATGGTGACCCAGTTATCATGGTCATCCTTGGGTGGAAACATTAGGAGAGGCTGCAGACGAAGTTCCTCAGCTTACACTGCGGTGGATGACTCACTGTGAAGGCACCCCACACATCAATGACAGTGCCATGTTCCATCTTTCTTGGGTACTAAGATTAGTGGCACATTCTACTGTGTCTTATAACACAACTTGCCCCATTTGTATTAATTCTATGATAACACACTGAGTTTGTAGCAGTCGATAAACAGGTACGTATATGGGTCTGGTACCAGCATTTTTGTATACACATTGTCCAACACTCACCATAAAGCATAGAAGAGCAAATATAGATACAGAGTACAGTGTATCCTGAGGCAGCCACCACTGAAGTGATGAGAGAAGATAAAACCAGCAAAATATATATTCTCCAAAAGCCCAAAACTAACCACACCACAAACAGAGACTCACTCCTCATTGGTGATGTGATCAACCAGGTTGTTTAGACCCTCCACCAGAGTAGCATCAACATCGCCGTTGCTACCTCAAAAACCACTTGGAATATAATTAGACCATCTACCCATAGGCTTACTACTACTGAAGTAGGCTTCCACAGAATTTCCTTGTGGTGGTTGTGACAAAGTGTACATTGGTGAGACTACAAGGGGCCTTTACACAAGTCTCTTTGAACATAAATATTCCTGCAAAACATTCAACTAGAACAAAGTAAACATCAGTCTGTGGTACAAACAGGCAAACCTAATGGGCTGGACAGACCCTAAAAAATTATTAAAAAAAAAAAGAGGAAACTGGGACAAGAAGATGGCGGTTGAAAGTAGTACATATTTTCAATACTGTCAAACAGATCTAAATCGCATTTAGCATCACTAAACGTCTAGCTATGCTCATCTTTAAAAAAATCTCGTAAATACTGTGCAGGTGACCAAGCATTCTGCCTGCCACTGTCACCACTCAATAATCTATTACCTGACCACACCTTCCACCATCTTTTTGTATACACTGGTAATGTTGTGTTGCGTGTGTCGCTGTATAGTCCTTGTGGCTTACGCTTCTTTTTGATTATAATAATAATGTGTTGCGTGTGTTGTGTGTTAACGTAAGAGAAACTTGTCACAGAGCATAACGTTGTCTTTAAACAAAGATTTGCTCTGAACATAGTGTGTCTTTACCTCTCTTAGTGTCACGTCTGGTAGTAACATCAGGAAATTCGTTGAGATTTTGTTTTATTTGTCAAAGAGGTGAAGAATTTAAAGCTCTCTCTCCATCATTATCCATCACACATCCCACAAGACTGTCACGAAGGATAAAGTAAGCTCTGTACATAAATGTCTCTGACATTATATACTGACTGATTATTATTTGTATTATTATTATTATTAAAATTATTACTATTATCATTATACATATTATTATACATGTGTTAGGTACCGGTGTGAGGTGGTGAAAGATCATGGGTGGGGCACTCTACTGAGCACTGGCTGGAGTGGCATGATAGGTGAGGTAGTGAGGGACGAGGCTGATATTGCTGTGGCTGCCCTAGACATCACTGAGCAGAGAGAGAGCGCAGTCGACTTCCTCCTAGGCTTCATATACGCTAAGTATGTTCATTCTGACGTTTTTCTTGTGACCAGTCTCAAGCCTCTTCTCTCCCTTTCAACATCTATTTGTCATTATCTACCTTAGCTTCCCCCTCTCTCTCGTCTGTGTGATGGAATATGATAAGAAAACACAACTAATTGTGTTCCCACTATATAACTTTCCTGTAGAATCGGGTAGCAGCACAATAATGATGTGTCCAGGTTTACAACAACAACAACAACAACAACAACAACATCAACAATAACAAGGAGAGACCCAGGATGCATCAGAAAGTTTTTTTAAATTGCAAAAGTTTTTCAATGGCTTATGTTTCACACTGACATGACAGGATGGTAGCACCTACCTGGATGGTTGCTGAGTCATGACAGGATGGTAGCACCTATCTGGATGGTTGCTGAGTCATGAGAGGGTGGTAGCACCTACCTGGATGGTTGCTGAGTCATGACAGGATGGTAGCACCTACCTGGATGGTTGCTGAGTCATGACAGGGTGGTAGCACCTACCTGGATGGTTGCTGAGTCATGACAGGATGGTAGCACCTACCTGGATGGTTGCTGAGTCATGACAGGGTGGTAGCACCTACCTGGATGGTTGCTGAGTCATGACAGGATGGTAGCACCTACCTGGATGGTTGCTGAGTCATGACAGGGTGGTAGCACCTACCTGGATGGTTGCTGAGTCATGACAGAATGGTAGCACCTACCTGGATGGTTGCTGAGTCATGACAGGATGATCGCACCTACCTGGATGGTTGCTGAGTCATGACAGGATGGTAGCACCTACCTGGATGGTTGCTGAGTCATCACAGGATGGTAGCACCTACCTGGATGGCTGCTGAGTCATGACAGGGTGGTAGCACCTACCTGGATGGTTGCTGAGTCATCACAGGATGGTAGCACCTACCTGGATGGTTCCTGAGTCATGACAGGGTGGTAGCACCTACATGGATGGTTGCTGAGTCATGACAGGATGGTAGCACCTACCTGGATGGTTGCTGAGTCATGACAGAGTGGTAGCACCTACCTGGATGGTTGCAGAGTCATCACAGGATGGTACCACCTACCTGGATGGTTGCTGAGTCATCGCAGGATGGTAGCACCTACCTGGATGGTTCCCGAGTCATCACAGGGTGGTAGCACCTACCTGGATAGTTGCTGAGTCATGACAGGGTGATAGCACCTACCTGGATGGTTGCTGAGTCATGAGAGGGTGGTAGCACCTACCTGGATGGTTGCTGAGTCATGACAGGATGGTAGCACCTACCTGGATGGTTGCTGAGTTATGACAGGATGGTAGTACCTACCTGGATGGTTGCTGAGTCATGACAGGATGGAAGCACCTACCTGGATGGTTGCTGAGACATGACATGGTGGTAGTACCTACCTGGATGGTTGCTGAGTCATGACAGGGTGGTAGCACCTACCTGGATGGTTGCTTAGTCATGACAGGATGGTAGCACCTACCTGGATGGTTGCTGAGTCATGACAGGGTGGTAGCACCTACCTGGATGGTTGCTGAGTCATGACAGTGTGGTAGCACCTACCTGGATGGTTGCTGATTTCTGACAGGATGGTAGCACCTACCTGGATGGTTGCTGAGTCATGACAGGATGGTAGCACCTACATGGATGGTTGCTGAGTCATGACAGGGTGGTAGCACCTACCTGGATGGTTGCTGAGTCATGACAGGATGGTAGCACCTACCTGGATGGTTGCTGAGTCAAGACAGGATGGTAGCACCTACCTGGATGGTTGCTGAGTCATGACAGGATGGTAGCACCTACCTGGATGGTTGTTGAGTCATGACAGGGTGGTAGCACTTGCCTGGATGGTTGCTGAGTCATGAAAGGATGGTAGCACCTACCTGGATGGTTGCTGAATCATGACAGGATGGTAGCACCTACATGGATGGTTGCTGAGTCATGACAGGATGGTAGCACCTACCTGGATGGTTGCTGAGTCATGACAGGATGGTAGCACCTACCTGGATGGTTGCTGAGTCCAGACAGGATGGTAGCACCTACCTGGATGGTTGCTGAGTCATGACAGGATGGTAGCACCTACATGGATGGTTGCTGAGTCATGACAGGATGGTAGCACCTACCTGGATGGTTGCTGAGTCATGACAGGATGGTAGCCCCTACCTGGATGGTTGCTGAGTCATGACAGGATGGTAGCACCTACCTGGATGGGTGCTGAGTCATCACAGGATGGTAGCACCTACCTGGATGGTTGCTGAGTCATGACAGGATGGTAGCACCTACCTGGATGGTTGCTGAGTCATGACAGGATGGTAGCACCTACCTGGATGGTTGCTGAGTCATGACAGGATGGTAGTACCTACCTGGATGGTTGCTGAGTCATGACAGGATGGTAGCACCTACCTGGATGGTTGCTGAGTCATGACAGGATGGTAGCACCTACCTGGATGGTTGCTGAGTCATCACAGGATGGTAGCACCTACCTGGATGGTTGCTGAGTCATGACAGGATGGTAGCCCCTACCTGGATGGTTGCTGAGTCATGACAGGGTGGTAGCACCTACCTGGATGGTTGCTGAGTCATGACAGGATGGTAGCACCTACCTGGATGGTTGCTGAGTCATGACAGGATGGTAGCACCTACCTGGATGGTTGCTGAGTCATGACAGGATGGTAGCACCTACCTGGATGGTTGCTGAGTCATGACAGGATGGTAGCACCTACTTGGATGGTTGCTGAGTCATGACAGGATGGTAGCCCCTACCTGGATGGTTGCTGAGTCATGACAGGATGGTAGTACCTACCTGGATGGTTGCTGAGTCATGACAGGATGGTAGCACCTACCTGGATGGTTGCTGAGTCATGACAGGATGGTAGCACCTACCTGGATGGTTGCTGAGTCATGACAGGATGGTAGCCCCTACCTGAATGGTTGCTGAGTCATGACAGGGTGGTAGCACCTACCTGGATGGTTGCTGAGTCATGACAGGGTGGTAGCACCTACCTGGATGGTTGCTGAGTCATGACAGGATGGTAGTACCTACCTGGATGGTTGCTGAGTCATGAGAGGGTGGTAGCACCTACCTGGATGGTTGCTGCCCCACAACGCTCTGCATAACCCGAGGTTTGCCATGCGCAATATTGAACGTCATCCATTGTGCAAACGATGTATCACGCGGAAGTAAAGATTATGACTTTAAACTACTTACTGCACGAGACACACGTTTAATTGCAGTAGATCTCGTACTGAATGAAAATGTGAAGTTTCAGATTCAGTCAGAAACCTGAGAGACTGAAGCAGTTGCTTCAGCAATTCAGCTGTCAAAACTCTGGGGCCCAGTCCCTGGACCCATTCTCTACCTCTGTAATCTTTTGACTATCACCCACAGGATGGATATAGGGTGTATAATAAACATATTAAACTAAACTAAACTTCAGCAGTTCAGTCGACGCAGTTTTGACTCTGGTTGTTGACGTTTCGCACGTCGAGGGTGGGCAGTGGTCTAAGCGTATGTTACAATGATAAACTCACAGCGAGAGAAGTGCTGAAAGCCAAGTGTTGACACTGTCATAGTTAAATATAGGTTCAGAGTCTGCACATCATGACACTGACACTGATAATCAGTTAGTTTAACATCTTTATTATGCAACCCAAAACCTTCCTGTGGGCGGTAGTCAAAAGATTTCAGAGGTACATAATGGGTCCAGGGACTGGACCACAAAGTTTTGATAGCTGAACAAGTTACAAAGGTAATGAACTCCAGGTAGATCTGGTCACAATCATGACAAGTTACAAAGGTAACGAACTATCTACACTCCTATACATGGTTACAATCATAAACAAATTACAAAGTAATGAGCCACTGATACGTCCACACCTGGTCACAGTTGTAATGAGTCATTAGTGTAAATATTAATTGATAATCTGTATTTCTATAAAGTACGGCTCACAACTGATACAGGAGGCCCCGCTTATACAGCAGGCCCCGCTTATACAGGAGCCCCCGCTTATACAGCAGGCCCTGCTTATACAGCAGGCCCTGCTTATACAGCAGGTTAGGTTTCAGGTTATCGCCGTGAAGCAAAAATTGCTGTAAAGTGTTTTTTTTTCACTTTCAAATGCATATAAAAATCTGATAACATGTTTACACAATAATATATATTAAATGAGCAATAGAGGTAGGTGTAAAACATGCATATACAGTACTAAGCTTATAATGAGTGTTGAATATATTTATTGTAGGAAGTCTGAATAAATGAAGAATGGGTATAATTGAAAACTGCTGTATTAGTGAAACGCTGTAAAGCAAAGCGCTGTAAAGTGGGGCTTACCTGTTTAGGATTGTCATGGTAAATATATTTCACTGAAAGCCTGTGGTTGGGCAGAGTATTTCAGGCAACATTACATTTAACTTATGACTACTAAACAATTTATTTATTAGTTTACTAGAATATTGTGGTTTACAATCCTTGACACTATATATAACAGTTTTCTTTATAATTTATGACATTTTGGGATGGTTTAAGAAACTTGTAGAGGTTGAATGCTGAGGTAGAACATATTTTTGCTTATTAAGTAGAAATATATTGGTGGTAGTGACTACAGTAGTGTGAATATTAATATAATTTTAATAAACAAGGTTGATGGTCATAAACTGGGCTCCAACGTAATTTATTTACGCAGAATTTACATTAGATAAAGAAGGTGATTTTTACCTATTTTTTTTTTAAGCAGGTGGAAGATAGAGAAGTTTTTTATATTGTCTTGAAGAGAGTTGGAAGACTGATATAAGAGTGACACAAGTTGTTTGACAAGTTGTTTGACAAGTTGTTTGACAAGTTGTTTGACAAGTTGTTTGACTAAAGTCAAAGAACTTGTGCCACTTTTATATAATAAATTCTGCATAGATAAATTACGTTGGAGCCCAGTTTATGAGCATCAGCTTTGTTTATTAAAATTATATTATCAATTTTCAATGTTTTTGTGTGTGTCATTGTAATCACCGACGATGTTAGTTGGTTCTGACTCAGCACAAGGTGGAAGGGCTGTATAATTAAAGGTATCAGCAAGAACATACATATACAACTTAAGAGCAGAGTTCCCTACATCAATCGTAAGACCTGGTATTGATGCACATCGATCTTCATAATTGCAAGAAGTTGATGTGGAACCCATTTTAAAGCAGAGAGAACACAGGACTTAATTGATTTGAGGTTAAATGTAACAAATGAGGGTAATTTAGGTGGGGGGAGGATCTTACAGGTTTTTAACATGTTTATTATGCACTCCATACCCATCCTGTAGGCGGTAGTCACCCCATACCCATCCTGTAGGCGGTAGTCACCCCATACCCATCCTGTAGGCGGTAGTCACCCCATACCCATCCTGTAGGCGGTAGTCACCCCATACCCATCCTGTGGGCGGTAGTCACCCCATACCCATCCTGTGGGCGGTAGTCACCCCATACCCATCCTGTGGGCGGTAGTCACCCCATACCCATCCTGTGGGCGGTAGTCACCCCATACCCATCCTGTGGGCGGTAGTCACCCCATACCCATCCTGTGGGCGGTAGTCACCCCATACCCATCCTGTGGGCGGTAGTCAAAAGATTACAGAGGTCAATCTGGAGTTTTATGACTCTATGATCACGGGTTCTAACCCCACCCGTGGTATGGTTTCTTTCGACTACCACCCACAGGATGGGTATGGGGTGCATACAGGGACTCAACACTCCTGGAGATACACAACATTAATGGGTTCATTGGTTACTTTATGATGAAGATCACCGAGTCTTGTTCTGAACGAAGTAATATTCTTTATGAATTTAACTGATGTTTTCTGTCAGATATCAGTTGGTGATGCGACGACCATCGAGCAGCGACGTGGTGTGGAGGGCGTATACCAAGCAGTTTGAAGGGAGGGCATGGGCAGCAGCAGGGATGGTGGTGATGCTCGCTATAATGGTCACAGTCATGGTGGTGTACTGCTCTAGGCGGCGGGGGATACATCTCACCCTCTCTGATACACTCATCACTGTCACCGCCTTCCTGGTAGGCCAAGGTGCGTCGTGGGCAGAGACACACAAATATGGTCAGATAGAAAGGGGAGAGTGGTAATGGAAATTCGTGGGTAATAGTGATTCACAGGTAATAGAGATTTATAGGTGACAGAAGTTCACATGTAATGGAGATTCACAGGTAATGGGGGTTTTACAGGTAATGGAGATTCACAGGAAATGGAAATTCACAAGTAGTGGAAATTCCTCACTGTAATATACACTCTAAACAACACTGGAGGGTCACCTCACATGTTGCATTACGGAAATGACAAGTAAACAACATCTTCTCAGTTCTAGTTTTGCACTTTACTAGCAGTATGATGCTAATAATCTACAAAAAAGCTGAATTTCGTGGGGCTAAGACCTAACGTTGTTAAACGAGATTAATTACTCGTCTCCATAGCAGGAAAACTAAGGGAAAACCTGCACTCCACTATCTACAAGTTGAGACTATTATAAATTGTAGTCTGTAGCTAAATAACAAGAAACCTACCCTCTTGTATTGAATACTGCTGCAATGTGTAGCAAGGAAGAGATATAAAGCTGAGTTCAGCATATCATTTGTGTGGATAATGAGCTGAGCTGGAGGGCGACGACTTGTGTGCCACGAGGCCGTTGCCTCCTTATTGTTAAAAGACAAAGGGACAGTAGTGACCAGTGTGTTCTTGACTCTTGTTCATATTGGCAATCTCAGGAAACTAGGAAAGTTAGACTAGTTTCCTTATACGAGTCAGGAAATTCGTGGTAGAATTAGTCACGTAGTGTTTATTGTGTCTCCGTGTTCTCCCTGCTGTGGATAATACACGAAACTATGAACAAAAGATGATGCTGAATGATGAACTGCAACCGGTATTGTGAGTGATTGCAACGAACATTCCTGATGTAGTGGCGAACATTAGTGCAACATTCCCCAAGACACTCAAGCCTTCAGTCAAGTCACCTACATTGGCCTTGAAAGTTAAGACACATGTGCAGCATCTGGTAATCTTTATTGTAGACGTATCGCCATCCAGTGGCTTTATCAATACAGATTCTAGGAGAGACACTTCCCAGATAGGGAGCCAAGGCCGGGTCACCACTACTTGGAAAAGACCCGGGCCGGGAGAATACCGGCGAATAAATAAAAAAAAAAATTCTAGGGCATAATTAGAAGACATTAGAACTATATACAAAAGATGAGGTAATCAGTCCCTCAGCCTTGGAGTGGAGAGCACCGTGGTTGTAGAGAATCTCTACAACCACGGTGCTCTCCACTCCAAGGCTGAGGGACCGATTACCTCAGCTTTTGTATATAGCTCTACTGTCTTCTAATTATGTCCTAGAATTTGTATTGATAAAGCCACTGGATGGCGATACGTCTACAATAAAGATTACCAGATGTTGCACATGTGTCTTTACTTTCATCTTGTCGGCATTGTATACCTTTCTTGGACACATCGGCCTTAATGGCGCTGTCAACACCATTAGCTCACGTTACACGAGCAAGATAAGGCTTATTCTCATTTGTATCACCAAATATGAATTGCAGTCCTTAGGCAGAAACAAGTTGATTAGTGCTGTCCTATTCGAGGTTGTAATTGGAGGGCTTTAAGCCCAAACCAAGTGAGTATCACTGCGCATTTCGGATGATAGTAAAATGCTGGATATACGGTCCTTTCAGGCAAATTGGTAAATAACCCACTTGTTAATCCAGAGCCACTGTGGACTCTAGGACGGCACACCGACGGGATGTCCAGGGAGAGGCTGCTGGATATAGTACTGTTAACAGATAAGTAGCGACTGCTATATCTAACCAGCTCTCCACAGCGGTCTTCAGCTTTGTGACAAACAGAACACTTATAACAATGCTCACCATTAAAAACATCCATACTTATTCATGTGCCTACTACATACACAAAACATTACACGCAAATATAAACCCTCCACTCAAACTTCTCCTCACCAACCTAAACAGGACACATAACCACAACACAAGACACAGATCTCTTTTTGATATACCTCGTGTCCACATCACACTGTGTAAAAACTCTATGCACATAAAGGTCCCCAAAATATGGAATTCATTACCAGAAGATATTAAAGTAACTCAGTCTGAAAATCAATTTAAGACTCTTCTCAAAAGCCACTTAATCATCCTAGACTAAATGCTACATACTCAGTACTCACACACTCAATATGTACTCCCACATCATACTTTCAACAATTACTTTTGAACCTTTTATCCATTGTCAACAGGAATATAATTGAATCATTGTTTTCACAAAAAGCTTTTTTGAATATATGAATATATCTTTGTCTTATATAAATTAAATTCTCAAATAATTAATAATCTACTGTACAAGTATTGATATAATTCCTAGTGTTAAGTAGCCAGTAAGCCAATAATGTTAAGTTGGCCCATAATGCCTAGGCATAAATACATAATCTCAATGTACTAATTGCAAAGACATAAATAAATAAATAAATAAATAAATAACATGAGCACCATGGAGCCGGATTAATAATCATCGGTGCCTCTAATGTGACGTGTGCTTCAAACATTTACTCAGTGAGGTGTGTGAGAGTAACAAGAATCATTGAAGTCAGTAAGTCAGTGAACTTCCAGGACTTAAGCCGGAATCCACACTCTTAAATTGGACTTGATTTCGATGAATTTATCAGTGTAAGTGCTGAGTGTCAGCTATAATGATTTATTGACATTCGGATACCATGACAGTTCATTATTAAGATGAGTGTCTAACGTCACCACACATCTAAGATGTCAAGTCTCTACGTAGACAAAGTCCTGGCTGCACGTAAGTCCAATTTTCCCCACTTTGTACATCCAGGCATACCTGGAGAGGGTTTCTGGGGTCAACGACTCCGCGGCCCGGTCTGTGACCAGGCTTCGCGATGGATCAGGACCTGATCAACAAGGCTGTTACTGCTTGCCGCACGTAAACCGACGTACGAACTACGGCCCGGCTGGTCAGGTATTGGTTTTAGGTGGCTGTCCAGTGCCTTCTTGAAGACAGCCAGGGGTCTATTGGTAATCCCCCTTATGTATGCTGGGAGGCAGTTGAACAGTCTTGGGCCCCTGACACTTATTGTCTCTTTAGCGTAGGTAGAGCATAAGTAAGCACATCAATGACGATATAGGACAAGTGAGGTAATTAATCTCTAGAGCCGGTCAGTTTGTCACATCCACATGAGGTCATGTTTCAACCAGCGACCAAGTGTGTTGGACCATTCTACCTGGTAATTAACCAGGAACCAGGTGTCAACAAGGACATCATACTGGTACAGTAATTGTATTCTGACAGCCATCTGTGGGGAAGTGTTCACCAAATAACTGACAGAGCTCGTGAAGAGTCTGGTGGGCTCTAGGTGAACTGAGTGACTTTAGTTAACAGTCAGTCAAGTATAACTACCCAAAGTCCTTCATATTTTTTACTTGATGTATAGCAATAATAATAATAGCATTTTTTACAACAATACTAGTTATTATAATTACTGTAATTCTTCCAACAACGGTAGGTGCTGACTTAAGTGAGGTACCAACTTCACTACGGATGGTGTCAGTGAGTTGCATGTTGCTACACATGTTGCTACTGCAACACTACACTAGTGACCTGATCACCGCCCTGGCTGTGGGACCGCCTCTACCTGCCATCACCAACTTAGAAGACATCAACCGCAGTCCCTCGCTCACTCTCGGCTACTTGAAGGGCTCTTCCCTCATCGAGTATTTTAGAGTAAGTGACTTAGTTATTTATTGTAAGGGAGAGAGTTGCCAAATGTAAGGGAAACTTGACCCCCACTAAATAAATATTCCATTTTGTGAAAAAAGATGTGAATGATAACTATAAATGTGTAAATAAACACGTGGGTCGGTAGATAAGCAGTTTAAAAATAAATTAATACTTTTAATAATATTAATAAATTGAAAAATGACTATATATTTATGCTTAAGAAAAATAATAAATTAATAACCAAAATATATATTGGTCAAGAATACTCTAATGTCAACTGGAAGGTATAGATTTGGTGGATCAAAGTTGCAATACTTTTAATATCTAATGAAGTTTCTCCATCGAGCTAACTAGATAAACTAAGTTTATTAAGGTATACACAAATACAGTTACATAGATTGTCATACATAGCAGCATATGTGTAGAGAACTTGGGATAACCCAAAAAAGCAGTGACTTATTTCCATTGGAGTCCTTTGCTGATCTTCCAGACTGTAGGACAGTCTGGGTTTCTGAAGCATTATAAGAGGTGAGGCTGCTGTAAGTTCCACCTTCCAGTAAATATTGCTTGTGACAGACTCTGCCACATCTAAAAATGTTAAACAGAATGCAGTACCACTGACGAAGGTAATATAAAGGTCACCGATGAAGGGTTACTCCGGGTCCAGTAGACTTATGGTGTAATAATGTAGACAGTTAATTAACACTGGACCTTATGAAATACTGGGTTATGAACCGTTTTGCATAAACTGTAGCCTCATCTACTAAGTTATCTCCTGAAATCCTATGGGCTAGGGGGAAGAAATATGTACGTTACCAGGAAAACACTTTTAGAAGTAAGTCAAAACTGAATGCTCTATAGAAAAGGGTAGCGAAACAAACTGTGCTAAGTGAACCATAGTGAAATAATTACTGGTAACAAAATTCAGTGACAGAATTTGCAGAAGATTAGAAGCTATCTCCGTAGCAAATTAAACGTATTTGTCTATGGGCAACCTGAGAAAGGTATCTCCATACTGCATAATGCCAGTCCCTTGTGCTGCAGTACACGTCAAAATATAAGTGCAGTGTGTGCCAAAGTTTTTAATACAGTTGGGTATTATTATCGGAAATTCGAAGCATATCAGATTTGGTATTTTCAAGTTATCACCCGGACACTAATATCCTAATTTCTTCGATGGTGTATAGGAAAGAATGAGTAGCTCATACATGGCCAATATTCTTGAAACTAAATTTACCAACAGAAAAAGTACTTTGATGTTCACTTTCTGTAAGACTTTCCACATTTCTCAGGACTCTCCGGCGCAGGTATACCAAAGAACATACCAGACTATAGTGTCTCGAAACTTCGATGGTATAGTAGAAAGTATGGATGAAGGAATTGAGCGAGTCCTGAAGGAGGCGTATGTGTTCATGGAGTGGGAGGTGACACTCTTCTACAAATTTGGTCAAGATTGCCGATTATATCGTCTCCCAACAGGGTACTTCCCAGCACAGGCATCATTCGCTCTCAAGAAAGGCTCGCCGCTCGTTCCAGTATTTAACAATTTGTAAGTCATTGCTCTGGTCTATGCACGACATTGGTATAGTGGTGGATGATGTTAAAATCGTTAATTAGGTCTGGCAAGTAATTAGATGGTAAGCATCTAGGGGCCCTTCAGTGACCCACACAACTTTCTATCCCCAACAACATGTATCTAGATTCAAGATGACAACTTACTTTAAAAACTATTAAATAACTGTTGTTTTAAAAGAGCAGCTGAATTTCGGCATCTAACAAATGTTCAGAAATATAAAATAGTTCACTTTACACTCACTGAATTAAATCACGCACTGCATGATTTAATTGGCTGCTGCTCCTCAAGCTTCATATAACTTATTGTAACACATTTGAATTACAATAAAAGAAAACATAGAAAAAATTGAAAGAAGAACTATCACTATATAATATAATGTACAATAAACATACACTGCGCTTTATGCTCCAGTAAATAAAGCGGTTACTTAAAATGTACATGTGTGTAACTAAGTTCAGTGTTACCCTGGTCATAACATCGGAAAAAATAACAGTGGAAAATGTGCACGAGCTGCAGTGATCACTGTGGTAATTATAAGACTATATTTAATAATATCACACTTTCAATACTTTTCTCCTCCCATTAATTCCTTTATTCCATACACAGATATGCTGAAGTTATATTTAACATTTTCCTTCAACACACTTTCTATGGCAAACTTATCAAGCATTCATGAAGGGGTAAGTCAATGTGTGATGGAATTTATATAAAATGTACATTAATTCATTGTTCTATGATTTTAGAGCATTTTTCCCTTGCATCTGTAATAATCACATTGTTAATCATCACGTGAATTAAAGTGGTTCTCAGTGAAGCAATATTTTGTGATATTTTTGTGACCTAATTTATATCTGTATAAATAATTCATTACGATTGTAACCAAATATAAATATGTAAATAGTTCATTACCAGTGTAACTTGTTCAGCTGTCAGAACTGTGGCCCGGTCCGTGGACCCATTATGTACCTCTGTTATCTTTTGATTACCACCCACACCATGGGTATGGTGTGACTACCACCCACACCATGGGTATGGTGTGACTACCACCCACACCATGGGTATGGTGTGACTACCACCCACACCATGGGTATGGTGTGACTACCACCCACACCATGGGTATGGTGTGACTACCACCCACACCATGGGTATGGTGTGACTACCACCCACACCATTTGCATTTGCACACGAGGGAGCATTCACCAAATTCAACTTCAATAACAAAAACATAAAGTGGGACCAAGTAAACCAAGTCCTAACCGATATAAGCTGGGAAGATATACTAAGCAACACAGACCCCAACTTATGCCTAGAACAGATTAACTTGGTGGCACTCGATGTATGCACAAGGCTTATTCCTCTAAGAAAAAGGAGGAGTAGATGTAAAATAGAAAGAGACAGGCGCTCCCTTTACAGGCGACGGAAAAGAATAACAGAGCGGCTAAAAGAGGTCAATATATCTAAAAATGCGTAGGGAGACACTGGTCAGAGAAATAGCAAGCATCGAACTTAAGCTAAAGGGGAATCTTATGGGGAGTCAGGAATCGCAGGAAGAACTAAAAGCCATAAATGAAATCGAAAGAAACCCAAAGTATTTTCTCCTATGCCAAATCAAATTTCGAGAACAACGTCCAGTTTTTTTGGGCCCCCTATTTAAAAACAAGATGGGTCCTACACAGATGACAGCAAGGAAATGAGTGAGCTACTCAAGCCCCAATATGACTCAGTTTTTAGCAAGCCGCAAACCAGACTGAGAGTCGAAGATAAAAATGAATTTTTTATGAGAGAGCCACAAATTTGGTTAACATAAGCCTATCCGATGTTATCCTGACGCAAATGACTTCAAACAGGCGATAAATGACATGCCCATGCACTCTGCCCCAGGGCCAGACTCATGGAACTCCGTGTTCATCAAGAACTGCAAGAAGCCCCTATCACGAGCCTTTTCCATCCTATGGAGAGGGAGCATGGACACGGGGGTCGTCCCACAGTTACTAAAAACAACAGACAAGCCCCACTCCACAAAGGGGGGCAGTAAAGCAACAGCAAAGAACTTCAGACCGATAGCACTAACATCCCATATCATAAAAGTCTTTGAAAGGGTCCTAAGAAGCAAGATCACCACCCATCTAGAAATCCATCATTTACACAACCCGGGGCAACATGGGTTTAGAAACAGGTCGCTCCTGTCTGTCTCAACTATTAAATCACTACGACAAGGTCCTAAATGCACTAGAAGACAAAAAGAATGCAGATGTAATATATACAGACTTTTGAAAAAAGCCTTCGACAAGTGTGACCATGGCGTAATAGCGCACAAAAATGCGTCCCTAAAGGAATAACGGAAAAGTCGGTTGATGGATCTAAAATTTTCCCTCACTAACAGAACGCAGAGGAGTAGTCGTCAACAGAGTAAAGTCCGAGGCAAGCTAGGGTTTGAAAAGCTCTGTTCCAAAAAGGCACAGTACTCGCTCCCATCTTGTTCCTCATCCTCATATCTGACATAGACAAGGAGTCAGCCACAGCACCGTGTCTTCCTTTGCAGATGACACCCGAATCTGCATGACAGTGTCTTCCATTGCAGACACTGCAAGGCTCCAGGCGGACATCAACCGAATCTTTCAGTGGGCGGGCAAAAACAATATGAAGTTCAACGATGAGAAATTTCAATTACTCAGATATGGTAAGCACGAGGAAATTAAAGCTTCATCAGAGTACAAACAAATTCTGGCCACAAAATAAGCGAAACACCAACGTCAAAGCCCTTTGGAGTGTCATGTCGGAGGATCTCACCTTCCAAGGACCAAAACATTGTATCAATCGCATCTGCTAGAAAAATGAAGGATGGATAATAGAACCTTCAAAACTAGGGAGGCCAAGCCCATATGACCCCTCTTCAGGTCACTTGTCCAATCTAGGCTGGAATATTGCTGCACACTGACAGCACCTTTCAAGGCAGGTGAAATTGCTGACCTAGAAAATGTACAGAGAACTTTACGGCGCCATAACGGAGATAAAACACCTCAATTACTGGAGCGCTTGAGGTTCCAAACTGTATTCCCTGGAACGCAGGCGGGAGAGATACATGATTATATACACCTGGAAAATCCTAGGGGGACTAGTACCGAACTTGCACACAAAATCACTCACTACGAAAGCAAAAGACTTGGCAGACGATGCAACATCCCCCCAATGAAAAGCAGGGGTGTCACTAGCACGTTAAGAGACCATACAATAAGTGTCAGGGGCCCGAGACTGTTCAACTGCCTCCCAGCACACATAAGGGGGATTACCAACAGACCCCTGGCAGTCTTCAAGCTGGCACTGGACAAGCACCTAAAGTCAGTTCCGGATCAGCCGGGCTGTGGCTCGTACGTTGGTTTGCGTGCAGCCAGCAGCAACAGCCTGGTTGATCAGGCTCTGATCCACCAGGAGGCCTGGTCACAGACCGGGCCGCAGGGGCGTTGACCCCCGGAACTCTCTCCAGGTAAACTCCAGGTAAACAGCTAAATACCTTCATGGCGCAATGCACTTAATGTACGACATTTTCAACTAACACTATTCGCTTTTTACCTGCTGTTGCTTTTATTATTATTATTATTATTATTATTATTATTATTATTATTATTATTATTATTATTATTATTATTATGATACTGAGGTGGTTGGGCTGACAGGTTGATGGAGCTGCTGTCAGCTGGGATCGTCAAGAAGGCTGAGGAACAATATACGCCTCACAACATCATAGACTGTAACCAGCTACAGACGGAACCCATCCAGCTGAAGACCTTGTTCACGGTGTTCCTTATGCTGGGCGGCACCCTAGTCATCAGCTTCCTTATCCTCGCTGGAGAGATCCTCAGGGCAAAATTTCTTTTCGGAGCTCCTCGTAAATAGAGGAGATATAATTAAAGTGATGAAAGATATCTGAGCAAATGAGAACACACAGAAATGGTTTCAGGTTAGATGAATGTAAGATTTAGGAAGGAGGTAGGAGAGAAGGGACTTAGAATAGAGTTATGGATGATCAAAAACTGTCAGATATATTAAAGTGGGAACTTTGTGCAGCTTTTAAAATAGGCTGGAAAGGTGGGGATGAGTAGAAAAAATCATTGTTGAAAAACGTCACTGAACAAATTTAATGATTTTAAATTATGTTGGATTAGGTTAAATTAATTTACGTTAGGTTAATTTAAATTAGATTAGATTCGATTTGTTAGGTCAGACTAGTTAGCTTAAGTAACCCAGAACAGTAACTTATTAAATCTATGACTTTAGTACGTAGATTCACTTACCCATGCTAGGTATGTCTTTCTCAAACCCGAGCTCTAACTTCAACGCATCCTTCTAATAAATGTGTCACACTTTCACATAGGGTTTGCTGCCCATTTCTAAATTATCTTAAGTCAGGGTACGGCAGATAAAAAAAACTATAAAAGACAATTAAGATACCTTACCACACGAACGGAAAACAGGCAGCCACTGCACTTGGCTCATTAATTACTATGCCACATTACAACGATTCAAGGCTCCGTCAACAGTCACCCATTTGACTGTTTTAACAAAAATTCCTACATCTGCCCAACTTTTTATTTTAAAGCTTCCCAAGGTGTTAGTTTCAATTCAGCCGTCTACTTCATTAATAAGGCTTCTCTTAGAATCTGTGGCTCATACTACAGAGTGGATATAAAGTCATTGGAGAACATACAGAGAAGGATAACAAAATAAATCCACTCTTTAAGAAATCTTTCGTATGAAGCCTGAGAGTCCTGAACCTTCACTCTCATGTAAGATATAGGATGAGAGAAGATATAATTGAAATGTATTGCCATCCCTTATTGACTATGTTTCGCCCACAGTGGGATTTATCAAGTGACAAACAGAACTACCTTCACATTGCTCACTGAACGCTAAATTTTCCTCGACAAGCCTGAGTCTTCAAGCGATCAATATATTTCCGTTAACACTTTCTTTATAATACAGTTAATTAATAAAGGTTTACTAATATTACACTGCTCATGTTCACTACTACTGACAATGACTTTTCTCACTATTGTACAGACGTAAACAATGAAAATATATCACAATACTACTACTACTATACTAATAATAACAAAAACAACAATAATAATAATAATAATAATAATAATAATAATAATAAATACAGATAATTAATATTTCTAAAGATTTTTTTACCAAGATAATTTATACACATGTGACAATTAATTAAGGTGTTTGGTAGGTCCATAACATCATGTTCTTAACTCAGGAGTTTGTTCCAGTCATCCACAACTCTGTTTTCCAACCAGTATTTTCTTACATCGTTCCTAAGCCTAAATTGATTTAACTTGAATCTATCTACTTCGAGTTCTTTCTTAATCAGACGCCATCAGTACTTCATTTTTATCTTATATCCTCGTTTTTAGGATTTGACGTGTTGTTGGAGTGCGAGCAAGGTAATATTAATGAAGGGATTCAGGGAAACCGGTAGGCCGGACTTGAGTCCTGGAGATGGGAAGTACAGTGTCTGCACTCTGAAGGAGGGGTGGTAATGTTCCAGTTTTATAACTGTAGTGTAAGTGTGCCTCTGGCAAGACAGTGATGGAGTGAATGATGATAAAAGTTTTTCTTTTTCAAGCCACCCTGCCTTGGTTGGAAAAGGCCGATGTGTTAATAAAAAATAATCTTCGTTTTGTACACTTCAGTCATTATCTTCCTCTTCTACATCTTTCTAAAGAGCGCAAGTTCAGGGCTCTCAGTCTATTTTTTATGAATCATTTCTTATACATTTGATTAATTTTTCCATTCTTCTCTGTATGTTCTCCAATAAAAACAAATATGCAGCAAATGGAAGTTTTATTCATATGATGTCCTGGTAGTCAGTAAATGGGGGGCTGATAGTGCTGTCCTGGGAGACAGTAATGGGGAAGCTGGAGGTGCTGTCCTGGGAGACAGTAATGGTGAAGCTGGAGGTGCTGTCCTGGGAGACAGTAATGGTGAAGCTGGAGATGCTGTCCTGGGAGACAGTAATGGGGAAGCTGGAGATGCTGTCCTGGGAGACAGTAATGGTGAAGCTGGAGATTTTGTCCAGGTAGTCGGGAATTATACGCAGGAAGGAATACATATGAATGACCGCATAGGGGACAGGAGCCATAGTAGGGAAACAAGTGTAGTCAAAGATAGATAAAACCAATATTGCAAACTAGAAATACCGCAGGAAATAGCAAACAGAGGACTCCACTAGCAATAGTGAGGATATATTACCAAAAACAAATGGTGGGAGCTCCATTGTTGGTGCTAGGGGAGGATAGAAGTAAGACAGGGAAACATGCACCAACAGGGAATACAGTCACAGAAAACCCAAGGCAAACGGAAACCAAGCCGTGCACATACTATGCACTCGGTATCTGCTGGATGGGAAATCTGGAAAAAAAAGATGGGACGTGCAACTATGACCACCCTAGGAAATGCCATGCCCATATGACAACAGGAAAATGCAAACTCCCTTCCTGTAAGCTTTTTTACCCTGAATGTGTACCTCTTCAGTACAGGAAAGACTGTGCTATAACTTAAATTGCCAGGCATACCATCTAAAGGGGACAAAAAGATACAAAACATCCAGGCCATGAGAAAACCTGGTAGCCACAGCCACTCAAGGGGGGAGAAGGTTTTTTAGTGCCAGGAAGGAAAAAAAAACTGGCAGGAAATGGCAGAAATCGTACACCAATCCAGTCATTCCTGGAGTGGAACCACAGTCGATGGCCTCCACTCCAAACCAACAGATACAGATACTAATCCCGGGAAAAAAAAAATCCCCCCCAGTACCAAAAATACCACCAGTCCGATAACATTCTTCTTTGCAAATATACAGGGTCTAAAGCCAGCAACAAACAACAAAAAACCTTTTTCATCCGTGACTGCTTGCAGAGGCAAAGGCAATGTTCGCGGCTTTCACTGAGACCCACATAAAGGATCACTTGGACAACGAAATAGGGATCCCAGGTTACAACCTTTTACAGATGTGACAGATGAACAGGCAAAAGGGGGGGGGTTGGCCTGTACATTGCAGAGTCACTTGTTTGCACAGAACTGCTAAATGCCTCAAATGATGTAGTGGAAGTTTTAGCAGTAAAGGTCGAGAACCAAAACCTAGTCATTGTGATAGTCTACAAGCCTCCGGATGCAACATCCCAGCAATTCCAGGAACAGTGTTAAAAATTGACCACTGTCTGGAAAACCTTCCAGCTCCTGCACCCAACATCTTGCTCCTGGGGGATTTCAACTTAAGGCACCTAAAATGGAGGAATATAGCAAATAATATTGTTGCAGTAATAACACCAGGAGGCAGCTCTGATGAAAACTCACACTCACGCGAGCTTTTAAATCTCTGCACAAAATTCAATTTAAACCAGCAAATAATAGAGCCTACTAGACTGGAGAATACACTAGACCTCATCTTCACTAAACAATGATGATCTGATAAGAAATATCACCATATCAAAAACAATATACTCAGATCACAACATAATTGAGGTTCAGTCATGTATGCGCGGAGCCCAGACCGACATATGAGATTAGTCACGAGGGAGCATTCACCAAATTCAACTCAATAACAAAAACATAAAGTGGGACCAAGTAAACCAAGTCCTAACCGATATAAGCTGGGAAGATATACTAAGCAACACAGACCCCAACTTATGCTAGAACAGATTAACTCGGTAGCACTCGATGTATGCACAAGGCTTATTCCTCTAAGAAAAAGGAGGAAGGAGTAGATTTAAAAACAGAAAGAGACAGGCGCTCCCTTTACAGGCGACGGAAAAGAATAACAGAGCGGCTAAAAAGAGGTCAATATATCTGAAATTGCGTAGGGAGACACTGGTCAGAGAAATAGCAAGCATCGAACTTAAGCTAAAAGAATCCTTTAGGAGTCAGGAATCGCGGGAAGAAACTAAAAGCATAAATGAAATCGAAGAAACCCAAAGTATTTCTTCTCCTATGCCAAATCAAAATCGAGAACAACGTCCAGTATTGGGCCCCTACTTAAACAAGATGGGTCCTACACAGATGACAACAAGGAAATGAGTGAGCTACTCAAGTTCCCAATATGACTCAGTTTTTAGCAAGCCGCTAACCAGACAGAGAGTCGAAGATCAAAATGAATTTTTTATGAGAGAGCCACAAAATTTGATTAACACAAGCCTATCGATGTTATCCTGACGCCAAATGACTTCGAACAGGCGATAAATGACATGCCCATGCACTCTGCCCCAGGGCCAGACTCATGGAACTCTGTGTTCATCAAGAACTGCAAGAAGCCCCTATCACGAGCCTTTTCCATCCTATGGAGAGGGAGCATGGACACGGGGGTCGTCCCACAGTTACTAAAAACAACAGACATAGCCCACTCCACAAAGGGGGCAGTTAAAGCAACAGCAAAGAACTACAGACCAATAGCACTAACATCCCATATCATAAAAATCTTTGAAAGGGTCCTAAGAAGCAAGATCACCACCCATCTAGAAACCCATCAGTTACACAACCCAGGGCAACATGGGTTTAGAACAGGTCGCTCCTGTCTGTCTCAACTATTGGACCACTACGACAAGGTCCTAAATGCACTAGAAGACAAAAAGAATGCAGATGTAATATATACAGACTTTGCAAAAGCCTTCGACAAGTGTGACCATGGCGTAAATAGCGCACAAAATGCGTGCTAAAGGAATAACAGGAAAAGTCGGTCGATGGATCTATAATTTCCTCACTAACAGAACACAAAGAGTAGTCGTCAACAGAGTAAAGTCCGAGGCAGCTACGGTGAAAAGCTCTGTTCCACAAGGCACAGTACTCGCTCCCATCTTGTTCCTCATCTTATATCCGACATAGACAAGGATGTCAGCCACAGCACCGTGTCTTCCTTTGCAGATGACACCCGAATCTGCATGACAGTGTCTTCCATTGCAGACATTGCAAAGCTCCAGGCAGACATCAACCAAATCTTTCAGTGGGCTGCAGAAAACAATATGAAGTTCAACGATGAGAAATTTCAATTACTCAGATATGGTAAGCATGAGGAAATTAAATCTTCATCAGAGTACAAAACAAATTCTGGCCACAAAATAGAGCGAAACACCAACGTCAAAGACCTGGGAGTGATCATGTCGGAGGATCTCACCTTCAAGGACCATGACACTGTATCAATCGCATCTGCTAGAAAAATGACAGGATGGATAATGAGAACCTTCAAAACTAGGGAGGCCAAGCCCATGATGACACTCTTCAGGTCACTTGTTCTATCTAGGCTGGAATATTGCTGCACACTAACAGCACCTTTCAAGGCAGGTGAAATTGCCGACCTAGAAAATGTACAGAGAACTTTCACGGCGCGCATAACGGAGATAAAACACCTCAATTATTGGGAGCGCTTGAGGTTCCTAAACCTGTATTCCCTGGAACGCAGGAGGGAGAGATACATGATTATATACACCTGGAAAATCCTAGAGGGACTAGTACCGAACTTGCACACGAAAATCACCCACTACGAAAGCAAAAGACTTGGCAGACGATGCACCATCCCCCCAATGAAAAGCAGGGGTGTCACCAGCACGTTAAGAGACCATACAATAAGTGTCAGGGGCCCGAGACTGTTCAACTGCCTCCCAGCACACATAAGGGGGATTACCAACAGACCCCTGGCAGTCTTCAAGCTGGCACTGGACAAGCACCTAAAGTCAGTTCCGGATCAGCCGGGCTGTGGCTAGTATGTTGGTTTGCGTGCAGCCAGCAGCAACAGCCTGGTTGATCAGGCTCTGATCCACCAGGAGGCCTGGTCTCAGACCGGGCCGCGGGGGCGTTGACCCCCGGAACTCTCTCCAGGTAAACTCCAGGTAAACAATAGTGGAACACCACCGACCACTTGAGATGGAATGATGCCCGCTGGTGAAAGTATCTCGAAGCGTCATTAATCCCACTTCAGACACAGCAAAGAAATGACGGCAGCTTTGTCACCTCTTAATGATGGGTATGGGTATGTCACCTCTGAAATATTAACAGTATCCAACCTTAAAACAAACCCTACCGTCACATGGCAACAATTTTCTTTTACTGCTGCTGCTACTACCACCACCACTACTGCTACTACTACTACTACTACTACTACTATTACTGTTCCTTGATGCTGGTGAGGGGCTCTTGATCTAGGGAACTGGATCTGTGCTCCAGTTCCCTGAGTTAAACCTGAATACCTTCCATCCCTCCCCCAAGCACTGTATAATCCTATGGGTTTAGTGCTTCCCCCTTGATTATAATAATAATAATAATACTATTACTACTGCTACTACTACTACTACTACAACCCTCGCTGCTGCTGCTGCTACTGCTGCTTCTGTATAATACCGAGCACATCTCCTGAGGCGCACATCAACCAAATAATTGCTGCAGCATATGAGTACCTGACACCCATATGCTGCAGTAGTTATCGTTCAAGACTCTGTACACCGTGTACGTCAGGTCCATATTAGAGTATGCAGCACCAGTTTGGAACCCACACCTGGTCAACCACGTCAAAAATTTGAGAAAGTGCAAAGGTTTGCTACAGAACTAGTCCCGGAGCTAAGGGATATGTTCTGTGAGGAGAGATTAAGTGAAATCGACCTGACGACACTGGAGAACAGGAGAGATGGGGGAGGGACATGATAACAACAAAAATATTAAGAGGAAATGACAAGGTAGATAGGGACAGGATGTCTCAGAGATGGGGCACAGCAACAAGGGGTCAAAACTCTAATTGAAAACACAGGTGCGTCACAAAGATGTTATGAAGTATTTCTTCAGTCATAG